CCAGGAGGTGAGTAGAGCTCCTCCACCACAATTTTCTGCCATGATGTTCTGCCTCACTTTGGCCCAAAAGCAATGGACCAGAACAAACATGATTGCCCTTTGGAACCATGAGCCAAAATAAACTTCCCCTCCTCTAAGTTGTTCTTATCAGGTATTTTGGTAATAGAGCCCAAGCTATCACAGATATCATAATTACAGCATTAATCACTGTATTCAAGCTTAACGACCAATAAGTACTATTTTTTTTTTCATTTCTTTAATCAAAATTATTCTAAATTATTATATTATATGAAAACACTTTTCTATATATATGAATTCTATCAGTAAACAAACTATTACAATGGAGACAAAATATATGTTGGGATGAGACAGATTTACATAAAATATGAGGATATTTGAAAATTTTAAATTGAGCCAAAGGATTATATCAATAAGAATTTTACAATTGAACAAATATCTAAAGGAAATGAATGAATAAGTGAATCACATGGATATAGAAGGGAAAAATTTCAGGTCCTCAAATGAGAGCCTCCTTTGAACAAGAAGATCCCATTGTGATTGCAGCTGAGTGAGTAAAGGAAAGAGTGATAGCAAATATGCTTATAAGACTGAGTAAAGCTGCCCACACAGAAATTTGTAGAGCACTGTAAACACTCAACTTCTAGTGAGATGTATCTGCTGTAAAGGTTTAAACAGCAAAGGGGTGTTTGGGGAAACTACTCAAAAATTACACTTAGGTTTTTGTTTGGTTTTGAGAATAGGGTTAAGATGAAAGGGTGGATACAGTGATATCAGAAAACAAGTTAAGATAAACTATATGAAATTCAATGATAACATGAAGCAAGATGTTAATGGTGGAGACAGTGAGATGGGATAGATTCTAAATATAGTTTGAAAGCAAAAAAATCACAGGTTTGCTGGTGTGGGTGTGAAAGTGTAGAATATAGATGAGTCGGGGAAAAAAGAGGAGATGAAATAGATCCTTAGGTATTTGGATGAGTAACTGTATAGAAAATAAAATTAATTCATGGGATGTTTGAGCCTGCTCCGCCAGCAAGCAAGAGCAAGGCCTTATGTTGGAAGCTGAAAATTAGCCAGAGTTGGAATATTTACACCAAGAACTTCACTGGAGAAGAGGCATTGTTAAATGTTGTCCAGTATATTACCAACTAAGATATTTTATTGGGTTTAGTATGCAGATCACTGGAGATCTTCATGTGAACATTTTCCTTCGAGTAATGAGGGGAAATGACTTAGTGAACTAGGTTCACAAAAAGTGGGGGAATAGAAATTGCAGAGTGTTAGCATGCATAACATTTTCAAGGAAAATTTACATAAAAAGGCAGTTAGCCAGAAGACAACACAAGTCCAGAAAAAGTATTTTGTAAAAGGTATTTATAGCATTATTATGTGCTGGTGGGATTGACTGAGGAGAGATACACCACAAAGAGGAAAAATTATTGAAATGATAAAACTTCATGAAGGTGATGAGGATACGGCGCTCAAGTAGAGGAGCTGTTTTTGTTCATGGCAATAGGAGAGAACACAGAGTATATGGTTAATATTCCTGCTGAGTAAACTTCGTTTGCGATTGCTTCTTTTCCCAGAAGTAAAATCATCAGCTGGAAATGAGAATGAGCAGAAGGCAGCTGGAGTTTTGAAACTAAAGGATGAGGTGGGAAACAACAGATTAATGAATGGCCAGGGAAATGCAGAAGTTCCACCTGTCAGGATTAAAGGCCCACTGGATACTAATAATCATGATATTTAAATGAAGCCAGCAGAAAGGACTGTGATTTTCTCCAGCAACAGCTGACCCCAGGAGTAGGTACGAATTAGAAATGACAGTGAGTAAGTGTAAAGTGTGACTCTGTAGGGGAATTAGTAACGAAAAAGATTAAAATTATGAAATGTGGAATCAAAGCTACTTAAAAAAGTGAAATGAGAACTTGAGAGAGATCAGGATAATTCAAAAGAAGAAATATTTGAGTTGAGTCAAAAATAGTAGATTTGGAAGCCTGTAAGGGTAAGCTGGGTAAACAAGTGTAAACAGTTATTCATGATTTTGAATTTGGAGGAGAAAAGAAGTCTAGTTATTATAAAGACTGCATTGATTTTCATTAATATTACAAGAAATAAGGAATTTAAATCTATGAAGACTGAAAGAAAATGAAGAGAATTGGAAGCTACTTTGAATTGGGACAGTAATTAATACCACCATTAGATATCATTTTATGCTCACTAGAGTAACTATAACAACAACAAGAAAACAGAGAGTGCTGATGGTGATGTAAGGTAAAGAATCTGTCCTACATTTCTTGTCAGAATGTAAAATGATACAGCCATTTGATGCAAGTAGTTTAGTAGTTTCCTAAAATATCAAACATCAATTAATCATATCATAAAGCAGTTTCATTTCCAACTTTATAACCAGAAGGAACAAAATCAAATGTCCATATAAAGTCTTGAAAACAAATTTAGAGAGTAGAATTATTCAAAATAGTTAATATGTTGAAGCAACCCAGATGAATATCAACCAGTGAATGATTAAAGTGTGTACATAGGTACAAGGGAATAGTATTCTTCAATGAAAAAAAAAAAATAAAACATTGATTCATCCTACATGTGTAAAACCAAAGAATGTTATATTCATTTTCATTTTAAAAAGAAAAGGTCATGTATTTTGTCATTTTATTTTTAGAAAGGTCCAAAAAATTGAATTTGTAGACATAAAAACTTGCATAGTGACTCCTTGAATCTGGAATAGGAAAAGAGACTTTTGTTTCAATTATTATGAAAACCTTAATGTGGTGACAGCAATGTGATGAAACTGGGTGATGTTATGGTTGAACAACACAACAAGTTTACTAAATAGTTATAATAAACTACAGAATTGTACACATAAATTGGATGAATTTTTTAGGATGAAAATTACACCTCAATTACATTTTTTAAAGTGGGCTTTTAAAAGAGGAGTACAGTTGTTGTATTTGGTAACAGAATTTAAGAAGTTTGTATAAAATTTTTTTCTTGGTTGAGGTGGGCTGGTTTCAGGGTCAGAACAAGGAGATTTGGATGAAAGCAGCAGTGAGCAAGAGATATCCTTATTTCTAGTTCTGTGCTGTGGGTGGGGAAAAATCAGTTTCCACTTAAAAGGTTTCACATCCTAAGTTAGCGATAGAGTCAGAGCAAGAAAGAAAAGAGATGATTTAGACAAGAGTGAATTTTGCTCATGATTAAGCATGTTTTAAGTGTGAACAAGAAGTGTTTTAAGAACTCAAAATGTATGGGAAACGGGTCAGAAAAAAGGATGCAAGTCTTTAAGAGAGTGAGAACCAGAATAACCTGAGAGTCCTGGTTTAGCTCTATAATTGACACAAACCAAGACTAAGGGTATTATGAACTATGAATGCTCACAGAGATCACAGATTTTATTGGCCTGCTTGCGGCCTAAATAAGTTAGCTGGCCACTGTTTCATGGATGTTGGCAGAAGACACAAGATTCTGTGTCAAAAACAAAGAACTTTATTACTCACAGCACAGCAAGCAGCATGCCCTTCATGTTCGTTTTGGTTTCTCTTTTTCCGTGTTCCACTGGAGGAATGTAGAATGAACTAGGTGGAAACTGTGCCAGCAGTATGTTTGTATCACAAATACAGAATGTTAGTTTTCTTAGAAACCAATTCCATCAAACCTATCTTTTGTATTTTGTTACCAGTTAACCTGAGTAACCATTTTCCTGGAAAAGACATAGTATTCGACATTATACCAGAAAATAGTGAGTCTGCCCTTGATCTAGAAGGTACCATTATGACCTTCCAAGACTGTTTGCCACAGAAGCACACTGATATATAATCTACAACTAATTCAACTAGTCCCTATACTCACAGACATTCAAGAGTGCAAGAGATCCACGGAGAATGTCCCAACAAAGGGCAAAATTGAATTAATCTGTGTGTTCTCATTCTGATTGTGATCACAAGGCCAGCAGTTAACTACTACAGAAAGTTAATATTGCCAACGTACAAGTGGTAAGATTCTTTCTAAAATCACGAAAGAGTTAAAGGCCCCTTTTTTCCTAGAGTTAAGAAATCCAGAGCAGAGGTCTTAAGGGAAACCAGAATCCTGAATTCCTCTTTGTTGCACACAAATTACAAATTCACTTACTTATAAAATTAATGTAGAGACTCTGAAGAATCATATTGTTACTGAAAAATATTCCCTTTCTTCTCAATTCCATGGAATGTTAAACACCAAAACTCTTTCCATAATGATGGATTAAGCCTTATGACTTTCTTGGATGCAAATGGGATATTAATGGACCCAAGGAGATACAAGTGAATGGATATTAATCTGTGCTTGCACAAGTGGTCTTGATCATTTTTAGATTCCACAGTCTCCACAGAAAGAACATAGTCAAGCCAGTTGAGGACAGCTTGCAGGATACAACCCTTGGAGGCAAAAGTCAGTTTGGCTGAGATCAGAGTACCTAGACATGCCAGGCTGGATTAGCCAACTGCCCACCAATTTAAAATTTATGTAAGAATAAACTAGGCTTTTGTTAATCCATTGAGTTTTGGGATACTTTTGGCAATAGCTAAGTGACTTATAAATTTAATATATACAGAAAAAAACTTCATTGAAGAATTAAAGGCACATACTTTGCAACAATGGATAAGAAAAGGCAGTGAAGTTTTAAGTGAAAATCACAGTAAGGTGAGTTTGTCTTCTTAGGTGATAAGCAATCTGAAAAGCAGGAATTCTAGGAAGGATCTATTAGCCAATCTGTTTTTGTGACTCATATTTTTTTTTTTTGCCAATTTTATTAGCATTCTCCAATGTGTTTCAGTTTGGCAAAAAGCTATATCACATTATTTCAATATTAATTAGCTTTAGTAATTAAATATTTAAAATTAATAATTATATGGTAATAATAAGTGAGAGTATAATTAACAGCAATAGTAAATAGATTCATGGAGATAATTAAAATTTTCACTCACCATTTTTTTTTTACTCAAATCTCCTTAACAATGATCTGTAAAAGGAAAGGAATATTTTAACAACAGGGGTCTGAGTATTTTTGTTTTTGTATTTATTTTTTAGTTAAATAATTATTAAATCTTAACATAAAGAATTTGATTAAGTTTTTTTTCAGATGTGTAGAATTCCTGATTTATTAACATCCATCATATTAATCCACAATTATATCATGTAAACAATGATTCAAATAGGATCCTTGCAAATCAAAAATTTATAAGGAAATAAGCAAACATTCAACCTTCTGTTTTGAATTAGAAATCTTATCTTTCCAAAAAAAATCAGCTTTAATTGGTATTTTTTGTTGAGACAGTGATATTATTATCATTTATTATATAAGGGAAGAAAGTATAATCTGAAATGAAAACATATGGCATTTATTCTGCATTCTAAATAAGCAACTATATTCTGAGTTCCAAGTTATCAGATTAAATACTTACCTTGGAAAGGAAAGAGAGAAACACACAAATTTTATGTATGACATATAATCATTGAAACTTCATTGAAGACTGTTTATCATTATTCTACTTTTAATTTGAGAGGTGCAGAGTATCACAACTGTTGAAACTGGGGTGTGTTCAAGAATGTACTGTTTTAAAAATTGGTCCATGAGGGGAAAAAACCATCTATATTTTTGTTTATATTTTTTCCTGCATTAAACATATAGACTAAATATGCAACTCTTTTTGAAAAGACTCACTGTATCCAAAAAGGGATATTGAGAAAAAGAGAATTAAAAGGTATTAAAGGTAAACATAAATAGCTTTATTAATATTATCACTATTGTTGATTCATTAATACAAGCTAAAGTAATCAATTTACATAGGCAAATTTGCTATTATTAATTTTTGTCTACTATAAATTTAAAATTGCATTATTTTATAACAATATAAAAAGTCAATTTTAGAAAATTCATTTTCTTGATTTTAATGTTTGGTGATTGAAACCAGAACAACTAAAGAGAAGGAATCAAAAATGATGGCGCTCAGCACAAAATTTGTAGTTGGTAGTGGAGAAAAGTTATCAAAAAAAAGTGTGTGCATGTGTGTGTATGCATGTTTATGTATGCATGTGTATTTGGGCATGTTTTTAGGATGAAATGTTTTTACTACAGTCAAATGTATTCAGAAATCATATATGTGTAATGTCGTCTCTGTCAGAAATGCTCTTGACATTATACAAACAATATTGGCTATTTTTGCCAACATAGTAATTGAGACTAAAGTTGTTTTTAAACTTTTTGCAAATTTAATGATAAAGACAACCCCAATTCTTAATGCAGTCTCTAAATTCATCTGTTATATTAAAACATCATTTCTTGTCCAGATGGATGTGAAAGGAACTAAGAGCCTGCAGTGAACATAAGTTTTCCAAGATGGTAAGTAAAAACAGCAACTGAAAATGTGCAGCATTCTGAGTGGACCTATTCCTGTTGGATATAAGTATCTGTGACTCTACAGAAGTTTTCACCCTGGGAAAGAAAGAGGGAAAATGCAATAAATAAATATTTAATAATGAATGCTAAAAGAGGAATGAAAATGGATACCTGAACAGTGAAAACATAAATGACCTTAAAAGAAGATTTAAATCACTTCTCTGATTAGCCTTCAACCCTCTTAAATTGGGTTCCACGGAATAGTTCCATTCTTATTTATTTGGTTTTTGTTGATAATCTTTTTCCAACTCTAGTATATTTTAAAGTATCAAGTTAATTTATATATTGACAGCTACAGGTACATATAGCAAGACTAGCACCTGCAGCTTTGATAATTAATTTATGAATCTAGTCATCTATTGCTATCATTTATATAAGTGCCTTCCAAAGACCCATATTTAAAGGTTTTGTCCCAAGTGTAATGTTGTTGGGAGACTCTGTGGACCTTTAGGAGATACAGCCTTAGGGAGCCTTAAGTCATTATGAGCATGCACCTGAAGGGGATTGTAGGACTCTTCCTCTTCCTCTCCGCTTCCTCTTGTTTCATAATTGAAGTGCTCTGAAAAATGCTCTCTCTGTGACTTTCTATACTCACCTGAGACCTAAAGTGATGGAGCCATTTGATCTTGGAATGGAACCTCTGAACTGTGAGCCAATATAAACATTTTTTCATTGTAAGTTAATTGCTTCAGTTTTTTGTTGTACTAATGGAAAGTTGACTAATGTACCTATTCAATTGCTGTTTTTGGTATTGCAACTATTAGTTATTTCATTTAAAAGTACCTTAATGTTACGTATGTGCCTTAGGGTTTAGTGTGACACAATAGTAAAACTTCATCATTGCTAATAAAGAACTATTGCATGGGAAGTGTTTTGCAGATTTAATCAGGATCATAAAATCATTTAAAAGAATTAACATAAGCAAAATTCTTAATTCAAGAGTTATTTCTTCAATATTATGATTCCATTTAATAAGTCTTTCTATAGATATGAGCAACTTAATGGGCAATCTGAAAGGCAAGAAAATCCCACAAGTTTGAAATCAGATAATATTTTACTGACTGTTGACTTTGCAGGTGAAAACAGCAAAGGCATGATATTGACCTTTAAGTAATATTTCTCTTGTGCTCTTACTTCAGCAAGCCAACATTGACATAGTCATTATGATGTTACAGAAAAGCTGCCTTCAAAAATAGTCCCTCCATCTGATTATTTATTAAATAATTCACTTATAGCATCAAAAAATTCTTCCTGTCTGAAGTTTCCTAAGTTACAAATATCACCCTTGTGAGAACTTGGTAATAAACATGATAGATCATTAAATTAAAGTTGTAAAATAATAGCAAAAGAAGAAAAGAAGTAATAAGTTCATTTGATGTATGTAACTTCTGTAACATTTCTCCAGCCCTTTAACATATGTAAACCCATAAAATTTGCAAAGCAAGGAACAATGAAAAATTCTACACTTTTTTCAAATTCACTGTACCAGCAATGAATTTCACAAAGAGGGGAAAAAAAATCCAAAGCGCTCATTAAGATTTGTATCTCCTGCTTTTACTCTAATTAATTTGAAGTGGCTTCCTCCTGTACTCCTGTACTCTGTCCTTATGTGCCCTCTTCTCCCTTTTCACTGGCTTTTATTGCTGTGTTTCTTAGATTGGACTCTTTATGAAACAAAATTTCTTGCAGTACTGTTTTGTTTTATTTTCTGTCCAATATAATTTAAAAATTCTAATTAAATTACTTGAAGTAGGTATTGGTGGTATTTAAAAAGAAAAATATTATGGTATCTTGTGCTGAATATTATATGTCTCTTTGAATATAATATTTTTCCATGCTGGATTAATGAGGGATAAGTACAAAAAGTGTGAAAAGAATTAATAATTTAGACTAATCTATAATATACATTGTTCTTCCTAGTTCTACTTTTGTCACTTTTAATACCTAAGGGAAGGTGTATTCTTTCAAATCCAGTTATACCTGGGGAGTGAAGCTGTTGTAAGTTTGGAAAAATGATCATTATCATCCTAGGGACCCATGCATACTTCACTTTTGTTTAAACTAACATTGAAATCTAACATTTATCGTGAAACTACTATGAATCTAGAAAATTACATGTAAAATATCAGCCAGAGAAATTTTTATAATGAACTGTAAAGGGTACCTCAATGTCTATTTCAAAACTGATTTGATGAATACAGAAAAGGTCAAACTAAAAATAACTCAACTGAATCAGTTATAAGTGGTAGTAACATATGCCCCATTTAATAATGAAACTTAAATTGGTAGCACAGTTTAAATAGTGCCATGAATGCTAATCTTGATAGCAAAGGGTTATGAACTACCTGTCGACCTGTACCTAACACAAGGTCAGAGAGTTATGAGCTAATGCAACCCCGAGGTACCAGAAGGTGAATGACTGACATGAGTGGGCTTGTGGGAAGAAACTGCTGTAGCACGGGTGGCACATTCAGAATGACACGGTGTCCTGAAACAGAAACAACTGTGATCCCATCTGTTTATAAATCGGAACTGCTGAAGTTAAAAACCTCCCTTTGCAGGCAACATATTTCCTAGGAGATATATTTTTTATATTCATAAACACTCAGATATTACAAGTGCTAAGCATTTTCAGATTCTCCTTACATATGTGGTTAGCTATTTCTAAAAAGGTTTCATTAAAAAAATTTTGACACGTTGAGCAACAATGAAGACTTGCATGTGGGGATTGTAGATTGGATAATCAGTTTTACCCAAGAGCCAATTCAAAAATTTTGAAAGTGATTATGTCCACAAAGATTTGTTCTAAAAACTTTGTGCCTGCGATAGCGATCAAATGGAAATATAATTTGTGCTTGTTAAAATTCAGAAAATCAAAGCAAGCCCTAAGCACTAAAACTCTGATAAAAGCTAATGCTGTTAATGTGAATATACTTTTAAACTATCTGTAAATGTGCACTCTATCAAGCCTACACTTTTATCATATTCTCCCACATTTAAAACCCATGAAAACAAATCAGTTTTCTGTTTTTCTCTCTCTTTTTAAGAAACAATCTATAGCCTTAAATTTGCTTATTCCCACTTATCTACTTGGTTTAATTGCATCTTGAAAGTAACAGATGATAACAATAATAAGAAGGAGTTATGATATTGACAAAAATTTTATTTTAGAAAGCAACATTAATACAAGGAGAAATTAGATGAAATAACCAGGCTGATACAACCCAACACACTTGCATACAGACACACACTTGTGTACGCAAATACCAGTAAACATTTGAGGGTACATGCTTAAAATTATTTGATTCTTTTCCTTTAGAAAGTCTTAATAATATTGATATGGCATAACACTATCAAGGGTTGTTAAAATATATTTCTTCTTAGCCAAGGAATGACTTTTTGGGGTTTCAATAAAACTAAACTGGGATTAGTTAGAATTTGTAAAATTTGAAGGAATATCACAAAATTAGCAACCTTTTATGTCAGTTTACATATATTTCTTCTAATGTAACAGCTATAATTATGAAAAATTACAAAAATTTCTTTATCTACCAATAAGTGTTTTCAATTTATCAAAAAACAATATTTTGAGTGGTTGCTAATTGTCATTGGTTTGTGGGGCAAAGTTCAAATCCAATAGCTTGTAACTAAAGTAGACATGAATCAAGATAATTTTATGCCTCTGCTATTTGTTTGGCACCAGGAATAAAATGCTGAGCAAAAACATTCAATTCTCAAGGGAATGAAAACTTAGATATCATTCAAATAATATGGATAAAAGTATAATTTAGACAATTATTTAAAACTATAACATAAATAGATGGTAGTCAAATTGAGTTGGGGTAGAGTACATAAGGATAAGTCAGAAGCAGATCAATATAGAAGCGGAAAGAAACAGTAGCTTTCAATCTAGGAAGCTCCATGATGAACATCCTGACCTTACTCTTCTGCCTGTGTTTCCCTCCTGGCCTAATTTTTTTTTTTTTTTTTGGTCCTGAGGTTTGAACCCAGGGTCATTTAACCACTGAGCCACATCCCCAGCCCTTTTATTTACTTATTTATTTTCTTTTAGACAGAGTCTCACTAAGTTGCTTAGGGTCTTACTAAATTGCTCAGGCTGGTTTATGAACCCTCTATCCTCTTGCCTGAGCCTCCAAATTTGATGGGATTATAGGCCTATACCACCACCCCTAGCTCCAGGACTAAGTGACTAATTAATATCTACATGTAATACTAGTTTCTATATTTTCTTTAAACCAAGTAAAGCTAAAGGGGGAAATATGAAACTTATGCTATTGGTGTATTTCAAGTGTTACTATTGACTGGATGCCATCAACCTAGACAACTTGAAGGAACCAGACCACTGTGACCTGCCCAGGGGCTCCATGATTAAGAACCTTCCGCTAACCAGGCTGACACCACCCAACACACTTCTAAAGTTCAACATTTACAAAGTTTTCTTGAAAAAGAAGACCCCCAAGACTCAAAATATGCATCTCAATTTCAATTGCCCACACTCCTTCTCCCTTGAATATGTTCTGTTCCATTGATGCTTTCCTGAAGTAATCTCCTTGCTTTATTGAATAAATATTTGTTTTGCACATTTTCTGTAGCATTCTGAAATTTCTTTTCATGGCATAAGTCAAGAACCTGCCAGGACTGAGTTAGAAAGTTCCCTTCTCCTTTCTGGTGCATCCTTAGAAAGTTTTCCAGAGATAAAATAATAACTTATCACATATTAAACTAAACTTTTTCCCTACAAAATTGGGTGAGGGACTGCAGAAACATGATTTTTCACTAAAGAGTATAATGTGGAAAGATGATTAATTTTCAGGATTAGGAAAGATACTCAAATTAGAATCTAGCTAATAGTTAAAGGAAAGTTAAGTGGACATTCAAAATCAAACCTGTTTAAAAAGAAACAAGTGTGTTCCAAAGTGCCATGTTGATGAGGAAAGAATGGATGCCAGGAACTAGTGGGGCCAGTGTGGAAGAGGGAACAAGAGCAACTACAAGGTTTTGGAGAAGCTGTTGGGTCTTACAAGTCAGTTTAAGGACCTTGTTCCTTGTCTGAAGTCCAGTGAAAAGCTATGAAAGAATGCTAGAGTGTTAGACAATGTAAATCAAATTTAGATGTAATCATGCATAGGCATTAGAGATTCTTAAGGACATAGCTGAAGTATACAGTGTGGACAAATACTGAGATGAGGCTAAGAGTCCCAATTGTAAAGCAGTAAATGATCATTAGTGGAAATATTGAAGAGTTGTGAAACTGGAAGTCATATTGTAATGTTGAAGGAGGAATAAAGAGAACCACAGAAGAATGAAGAGAATGCAGAAGAAATATGAGAATGTAGGACATTTAGGAAGAATGTTTACACCAAAAAAAAGGAAATCAAATGCTCCAAATTCTGACCCCTTTGTTGAAATTATATATAGTATATATTTTTTTTCCTATCAAATATGCACTACAAAGAACATTTTTGTTCTTGTGTATGTGAAGTATTTCTTTTTCAGAGTTGCTTTAGGAAACCTTCTTCATTACAAAAAGTAAAGCTCTAAAATTAATTTTTTAAAGTTTTAATAACAATTGTCAGATATCCTTGAGAAATATTACAAATTTGGGTAATCCACAACAGTATTTTCAGGTTATACTTTAGATTTCTTGGTTATACTCTTTAGTTGAATTCTGCTATTTATAATTCCTTTTATTTTTATACCTGTGCTATTAAATGGTATTACAATTATTATTACTGGGACTTCATTAATCAAAAAAGATATAATATTACTATAATATTCTTTTAAATTACATTAATTTAAAATTAATTAATTAATTAATTAATTCCTTAGCATTATGGCTGTGACTCATAGGCCAGATTTTTTCATGCCTTTTAATGACAATCGCTACTGACCCACTTAATCCTGCTATGACTTGCTGAGCTCGACAGAACTCACCTCTTACTGCCCTAGTCCCTGACTGCTCACTGGATGACCCATGATCAGATGCTCCTATTCCAGATACTTGTAGCATTTGAGGTGTTCTTTCTGTTTTGTTTTGTTTGGTGTTGCATCATTTTCTGTCACAAATAATTAGAAGCAAGTTATTGACTTTGAACAATAAACATTGGGTCAAGTAAAGGCTGACAGATTATCTCTTAGAAAATAACATGGAAAGTTTTTAGGTTGAGTAATTAGCCATTTGATCCATATAACCTACAAAGTACAAAAACACTAGTTATTTTGGTTTGTCTCAGTTTTCTATAAAATGAAATCTTTTCTTTTGTGTCATTCTTGTTATTCTACTTAATATTATGTTAGTCATCTTTATTTTTCTGTGAACAAAATATCTGACAAGACCAACTTAGAAAAGGAAAGTTTATTTTAGCTTATAATTTTAGAGGTTAGTTCCTGAATAGCCAGGTACATCTTCCTGGGTCTGAGGTGAGGTGGAGCAAAACAGTGGAAGGGCAAAGTAGAGGAAAACTACTTACCTTGTAGTGGTTGGGAAGCAGAGAAAACAAGGGGAAGAGGCTTCAGGCAAGAGTAACCCTTTCAGGTCACACCTCCAATGACTCACCTCCTCTAGCCATGCCCTACCTCTACATTTACCATCCATTTAGTTCATTTAAACTAGTACATTTACAGTTCTCATAATCTATATATTTTACCTCTGAATATTCCTGCATTAACACAGAAGCTTCTGGAGGATACCTCATCTCCAAACCATAACAGTAGGGATTGGTGCTGATTAAAATGTTCATGATACCAAAAGACTCTTGTATGACATATAATAGTTTTACAGTAATATTGCTGGAACTCACAGGTGTATTCTCTCCACAGGTAGTGTCAACACCACAAGGTTTTTGCTTATTCTCATAAAAATCTGAAGTTAAAAAGTAAGTTGTAAATGCATTAACCAAAGATAATGTAAAATAAAAAATATAAGTAAATCCTTAATTACATTATGCATGTCCACATTTTTTTAGTATATTGAATTGTAATTTCATCTAATGAATTGCTACTTTTTTTTCTTATCTTTTACTTTATTTTTTGGCATTCTTTTTTTACTGAAACTACTATTTAAAAAAATAGGCGATTTTGAAAACCAAATCAAACAACAATGAAATGATTTATTTTACTTATTTTAAACATTGAGAAAAGTTTCTTCTGGTTGCATGTCATATACCACTTAAGTGCATGCTTAAGTTTAAGCTAGTGAGAAGCACATTTAATTTTCAGATCATCAAACAATAAATACAATATATATTCTTAGAGGAACAAAATCATAATAAAATTGAATTTTGTATTTGTAGGTTCAGCATCTAGTTATTGATTAGGGGAGTAAATACCAAGATTAGATAGTTATTAATTATATTAAATTCATAAAAAATGGAAGTGGCCAATTGACCAATCAATTATTATAGCAATACTGTTTGAATTGAGAATGTAAGTCCACAAGACATCTTTTAGGACTTTACTTGTTCTTTCATCATCCATTCATTTTACAATGATCATTCCCAATGATTCATCTCCAAAAAAAAAAACAGTAAAACAAAATGAAAAACTAAATAAGTAAATATTAAATAATATGAAAGCTGCTAGATGAAAGCATAGGAAATAAGATACTTTCTGGACACAGATTGAATACTCAAGTAGCTAAGTTACAATCTATAAGAATTCTTGAAACTCTAGCCAGAGCAATCAGACAGACAAAAGAAATTAAAGGGATATAGATAGGAAAAGAAGAACTCAAATTATCACTATTTGCAGACGACATGATTCTATACCTAGAAGACCCAAACCATTCCACCAGCAATCTCCTACAACTAATAAATAAATTCAGCAAACTAGCTGGATACAAAATTAACACCCATGAATCAAAGGCATTTCTGTACCTCAGTAACAAATCCACTGAAAAAGAAGCAAGGAAAACCACCACTTATACAATAGCCTCAAAAAATAAATAAATTAAATGCTTGGGAATAAACTTTCCGAAAGTGGTGAAAGACCTCTATAATGAAAACTACTACATGCTAAAGAAATAAAATTAAAGAAGACCTTAGAAGATGGAAAAATCTGCCTTGTTCTTGTATAGGCAGAATTAATATTGTCAAAATGACCATATTACCAAAAGCACTATAAAGATTCAATGCCATCCCAATCAAAATTCCAATGCCATTTCTCATAGAAATAGAAAAAGCAATCATGAAATTCATCTGGAAAAATAAGAGACCCAGAATAGCCAAAGCAATCCTTAGCAAGAAGAGCAAAGCCGGTGGCATTACTATTCCAGACCTTAAACTACACTACATAGCAATGGTAACAAAAACAATGTGGTATTGGGACCAAAATAGACCTGTAGACCAATGGTACAGAATAAAGGACACAGAGTCTAACCCACATAACTACAGTTATCTTATATCAGACGAAGGTTCCTAAAATGTACATTGGAGAAAAGATAGCCTCTTCAACAAATGGTGCTGGGAAAAGTGGAAATCCACATGTAACAAAACAAAATTAAACCTCTATCTCTCACCATGTACAAATCTCAACACAAAGTGGATCAAGGACCTAGGAATTAAACCAGACACCTTGAGCTTAATGGAATAAAAAGTAGGCCCAAATCTCCATTATGATGGATTAGGCCCCAAATTTCTTAATAAGACTCCTGTAGCACAAGAATTAAAACCAAGAATCAATAAATGGGATGGATTCAAACCAAAAAGCTTCTTCTCAGCAAAAAAATAATCAGTGAGGTGAATAGAGAGCCTACAGAATGGGAGCAAATCTTTACCACAAGCACATCAGATAAAGCACTAACCTCTAGGATATATAAAGCATTCCAAAACCTTAACACCAAAAAAAAAAAAAACCCGCAAATAACCCAATCAATATGGGCCAGGGACCTGAACAGACACTTCTCAAAAGAGGATATACAATCGATCAACAAACAAATGAAAATATGTTCAACAACTCTAGCAATTAGAGAAATGCAATTCAAAACTATTCTAAGATTTCATCTCACTCCAGTCAGAATGGCGGCTATTATGCATATAAACAACAATAAGTGTTGGTGAGGATGTGGGGGGAAAGGGCAAATTCGTACATTGCTGGTGGTACTGCAATTTGGTGCAACCAATCTGAAAAGCAATATGGAGATTCCTTGGAAAACTTGGAATCACCATTTGACCCAGCTATCCCACTTCTTGGTTTATATCTAAAGGACTTAAAGACAGCATATTATAGGGGCACAGCTATCTCAATATTTATAGCAGCACAATTCACAATAGCTAAGTTGTGGAATCAACCCAGATGCCCTTTAGTAGATGAATGGATAGGGAAACTTTGGTATATATACACAATGGAACATTACTCAGTATTAAAAGAAAATAAAATCATGGCATGTGCATGTAAACGGATAAGAGTTAGAAAATATAATGCTAAGTGAAGTAAGCTAATCCCCCCAAACCAAAGGCTGAATGTTTACTTTGATATAAGGAGGCTGACTCATAATGGTGATGGGGGTGCATGAGAAGAATGGAGGAACTTTAAATAGGGCAAAAGGGAGGGATGGGAAAAGAGGGGCCAAGGGGATAGGAATAATGGTGGAATGAATTAGACATCATTACCCCTACGTACATGTATGAAGATATGAACAATGTGAAAATATTTTGTGTAAAATCAGTGTCTTGAAAAATTGTGCTATATATGTGCAATTGAAATTAATTGCATTCTGCCATCATGTGTAAAAATTAGAATAAATAAATAATTTAATAAAAAAAAGATGTTCATGTTTTCCTCCTTGATTTCTATAATGCAATACTTTAATTAATTACATGATAAACCATCATTGAATTTCAGGAATAAATTCCACTTGTTCATAGTGAAAAGAAAAAAAAATAATTAAAATATTTTTCCTTTGAATGATACATTCCATATAAATATAAATGAAATTCTAAAAAGAATTTATATGATGAAATAAAAATAAAATAAAATAAAAATGATAAAAGTTGAGAAGGGTGTTACGTTACACAAATGAGATTGTACTATCAGAATATAAAAATATAAAATCAGTAATTATGATATAAATAGTTTTTTTTCTTCCCATCATTAAATGTTAGTTTGGGTTCTTTAAGAGGGAGACACCAAAATGGAATTAGATATGCAAGAGACTAACTGGAAGAAATGCTTGTGAAGACAAGAGTGGAAAGGAAGAAAGGAGGAAATGAAGAGACCACAGACCATGATGCAAGTCTGAAGGGTATGAACAAAAGAAGGAAAAGAAAGGAGGCGAAGGGATTCATATTGCACCTCAACATTAGAAGTGTCTCAACCAGGGCCCTGAGCAAAAAATGTCTTATAACAAATTTCCTCATTGCTCATCCTGGTCCTAGAGAAGTTTTCATGAATATTATGAAAGATGTAAAGATGTAGCATCTAGATGAAGGAGGTCTCCCCTTCACCCTCTCTCACAATCATCTTAAAGGCAGAGTGGAGTAGTATACCTCTGAGACCTTTTCACTCTGGAAATTATAGCATAAACAAAATAAATTAAGGGATAAACTTTGAAACTTTGGTCCCAGGAACTCTCTATACTTAAAATAATTAAGAAACTCAACGAGTTTTATGTATGTGTATTAGATAAATCACTTTTTACCATTAAAAATTAAAGCTAAAATTTTTTAAAATAAGTCTTATTTTTAAATGACAGTAAATTTATTATATTAAAATAACATTTTTACAAAAAATATAAACAAAATAATCAGAAGATTAGCATTGTTTTGCTTTAAAAGGTTTATAATGTCTGGCTTGATTTTTGTATCAGTTTCTGAATATAATCTACAGTGAATGCTACTTTGGACTTTGTAATTGAAGGAAATCTTGGCTTACATAGATTTATAAACTAGAAAGGAGATATTTAGCAACCACATAAAAGTTTTGGGGGACCTCCATGCATACGTTAGGGAGGATTGATTACAGAAATAAGTACATTTCACACTTTAAGTATGACTGTATGTTTAATTTATAAAGTTATCTTGCAGATATATAGTATGTTTATCCTCAGGGCAAGACCCAA